GTTGGATATATATAAATTAATCATCTATAAATTGTAAATTATATTTATTATTATATTCACTAATCTAATTGTAATATTTTGCTTTTTAGGGCATTTTATGTTCAAACTATGTAATGGAATATATTAAGTGTTTCTCTCAATCCATGTTTAATTTCGTTTAATTTTTCTCATTTTTGTTTGTAGAAATAAATTAAAGTATAATGGTCAATGATTATGCAACGGTATTAGATTACAAATTGATACAATATTACAGTCTACAAACTTTTACCACTTAAACTAAGTGAGGTCAATACATTAGTATCGGTTGGTCTTTGACAAAGTAAAAAATTGTAAATAAATATATAAATAAAATAATAAAAAGGTGTAAAATGTCAAACCTAATGTCATGCATGACGACTTCATAGGTCAACTTTCTAGACAAATACGAAGTATGTAATTAGTAGTGCAAGCTCATTAGATTTACCTATAATAAACATATTGTTACAATGTTACAAACAATATTATTACTAAAACTCTTGGATCCTACCCAGTTAGGTCTATGTCTACTCCTTCAAATTACCCGTTTTAAAAACATAAACTCTCTCAAGGAAACAAGCTTGTATAGAATAATTTTTAATATTCTCTATAATTTTTATTATTTCGAAATTGTTAACCACTATAGAAAAAAAAAAAAGATAAGGAAACACAACATTTCTCATGTTTTAATGACATGTGTTTATACTCTTCTCTCTTTTCTCTCTTCTCTCTTTTAGGATTTTAGTATTCTTGACCGTTTAGGCTAGAAATAGTCTAATTTCTTTGAAACCCCTTTTTCTTTGATTTAATTTAGTTATTTATTTTGTTTTGCTTTGTTTTGCTCTCTCCATTTGTGAGAGTCTGTCCCAATTATTTGGTTTTTTCCCAATTTTTTAGAATTTTGATTCTCAACTATGGATGATAATTCTATTTTTAGGGTTTCAATAATAACTGAGAAGATCATTTGGATTCATATGGGCTTGAGGTTTATGGTCAATTCTATGATCAAAACATCAGCGCAGATTGCGAAGGTCTCTACTTGGAAAGATGCGAAAACATCAAAATCACTGCTTGCGTCAAGCTTAAAGCGGTGGAGTACTTGGAGTGTAAGCTATGTCAGATATGCAAAATAGTTATGATTTTGATTGTAAAAGTTATGTTATTTTCTCTAAATTTATGGTTTACAAATCTTTATTATAATTATAGATGTCGTATGACTATTTATTAATGATAATATTCTTATTCCTTAAAAAAAAAAAGGTGACATTTGTTTATAACGTGTATTTATAATAGGCGTAAACTACGTAGTATTATAATACTCTCTCCGTTTTTAAATACACTTGCTCCACTTTTCATTTTCGGTCGATTTTAAATACTAGCTCCATTTCCTTATTTGAAAAGTTTTTACAATATTTAATTCATTTCTCTCAACTAGTGGACCCACCATAAATCATAATTTATTAATGGGAAATTTTACATGGTGGCCTCAAGGATATAAAAATTCTACATGGGAGACAATGTTTTTTTGCATTCTCTTAAGTGGCACTCTAGATTTTCATAATTAAGTATAGTGACCTTTTTTTGATTTTTTGGCTAACCATTAGTTTTATACTAAACAAACTAACTAACCCCCTTCCCAGCCATCAAACCTACCACCCTCATTGCCGCCAGCCACCAAACCCCCCACTCTCACTGCCGCCAGCCATACCCATACACGCCCATCGCCACTGCCCCCTCCCTAGCCTTACACCACCGCCAGCCCCCAACCTTGCCATACCCCACCGCCAGCCCCGAGCCAAACTTACCCATCGCTAGCTCCAACCTAATTTTACCACCCCAATCACGAAAACCATCCCCTTTTTTCCTCAGCCACCATTCGAAACCCAAAACCCTAGCCACCACCCTCAAAACCCCAACCCAGCCATCGTACGACATCAAAACCCTAGCCACAAAATTGTGAAAAGTCCGGCTGCCCCTACCCTACACCTCCAAAAGGCCGGCGCTAGGGTTTCGAGTGTGAGGAGGGGCAGTCGGACTTTTCCGGCAACTTTTAGGGGTTTTCGATTGGTGGGGGCTGAGGTTACGATGGTTAGGGAAGGGGAAGAGAGGGAGGTCAGGGTGGTGCTTGCGCCAAGGGAGGGGGGTCTGGGCACGCCAGCACCGAGGGAGGGGGTTTGGTCGCGCCAACGACGTAGGCAGTGGATTTGGCAGGTGGCTGTTGGATGGTGGTTTTTTTATTTTTTTTTAATAAATTTTTTTAAATTACTTATGGTTAACCAAAAATTAAAAAAGTTAGCCAAAAAAATCAAAAATTGGGCACTATGCTTAATTTTTCAAAACCTTGGTGCCACTTAAGAGAGTTGGAAAAAAGTTCATCTTCCACGTAGAAAAACTGAGTCGTTGAAGCCACCATGTAGAATTTCCCTTAATTAATTTCATATTCTCTCTTCTCCAATTCTCTCAACTACTTTTGCTTTTTACAATTTTTTATTCTTCTACCTACCCCACTACCTCTATATTTTATTACTTTCTCCAATTTCTCCTAAAACTTTGCGCATGAAAAAATGGGGCAAGTTTTATTTGATTAAAGACTATCTCTACCCTAAACGAAATTCTGAGTAATATAAGCACAACCCAGGTATTTGGGCTTCCTTAAGCTCTATTGGACTGTTTTGTTTAAGAAAGCACAGCTTAAAAAATCTTAAAAGAAGCCAAGGATACTATATCATTTGGATCATTAACCCATTAAAATAAGCCCAATTTCATGAGGTACAAAGTCTCATCCAGTGGAGTGGGCTTCTAATGCAATTGAGGCGCAGTAACCCAAGTAGACCTTCTAATCATTCTCCCTTACTTATCCTCATCCTTGCCCCACACGGCCAGTAGAGCTGAACAAAAACTCGTTTTCGTGTTTGATCTCTTGTTCTTTTCTTATTATTCATATGATCTATCAAAAGCTTGTAAAATGTAATTGCATAATTTGACCACTATATTGGTTTCGTGTTATGTCGTGTTGACTTTGTGTTTTCTCCCAGTAATTTCGTGTTCGTGTCGTGTTGACTCCGTATTATTTTTTTCAATAATTATGTGTTCGTGTCGTGCCGGTTTCGGTTGTGTTGTGGTAAAGATTGCCTTCTCTATTCACTACTCCATAATAATTAATTAAAAACATCATCGCCTCCACTACCCAGTATTCACATCCGCCTAATAGCCACGCACTTTACTCGCTCGCTACATTAACTTTGTATGGAGTGTTCAAAGATCTACGAGGAAGCCCTAGTTTATCATCATGATAAAAAAAATTTGCTTATCTAGTGACATTTTGTTAATAAAATCAACAAAAAATTGTAGTAAGCATGACATTTTCATATATAAATCAACATTTATGACCTATATTTAATAAAAGTTGTTGATTAATTTACAAAAATGTCACTAGTTAGATAATTTATTTTTTTTGTTTATTAATTATGATGGTACTTGTATTTTCCCAAGATCTATATAAAAGAGTTCATGTACAAAATACTTACAAAGTTAATACTCCCTCCATTTCTTTTTATTTGCAACAAATTAAAGAGTTATTATTTGTGAGACATAAAAAATTTCTTTATTGCAAATACTAGTAATAAGAAACGAAGATAGTATATAACTTTACAGTATTCTAATACCTTTAGTTTTAGACTTTCATACTGCACGTTTTGCTAAGTGTTTTTCCCTTATTTAATTAGGTATTTTTTATAAGACAATCAAATGTAACAAAACCAGTTGTTCAATTTGACTATATCCCATATTATGCTCTACTAATAACTTTTTTGGAATTTAGGTCACAATCCTTCACGAATTTTACATGACCTGCCCCTTTATGCTAAGCGAAGGGTGTTGCTCTCTACCCGTCTCTTTCTATTTCTCAAGAAGGTAATTAATAAAGTGATCCCCTAAAATATTCTGGCTTATGATTATTATGTCCTTGCATTAGTATAATTGATTGAGTCTCTTTGGCCCTTATTATCCGTCCAAGTGACTAATTTGACAAATTTCAAATATTTTACATTACCAAAATAGCAATACCAATGCCCTGGGTTTACATGACTACCAGTACCAACACCCCCACTCCCAAAGGACCAGAGTGAGCTCTGAGAGGTTACGGCTCAATAGGGCTATCTCCTTACCTACCAAGAAAATTATATTCATATGCATGATAAAATGACTAAATTCTTTTAGCAAAACCTAATTTTTCTGTATTAATTGAGAACATGTATGTAATAGTGCAATACGACATGGTTCATTATTGAATAAACTCACTGTGTTGACATTTGAGTTCATGACAAAGCCTTATACAATAATGACGGATGTTCGCTGAAAATATTACAGGGTTGATATTTATATCTCTAATATGTTGCACAAAATTAATCATAATGACGCAATATTTAATAATTAAAATATAGTTATTCATATAATAAAAATAACTTATAGGGCCTGGCTTGGTCCCGGTGAAAGATGCCCATTCTGTTATACAATTCTAGTACTCCTTAGCACATAAACACTTGTAATAAAAACCCTTCTAAATTTCTAATGTATTTATGTATGTATTGTATAGATTAATAGATAGATGCGCATGCATATTCTTAACAAGCTATAATATTTTTCTCTAAGTTTGATTTGCACTCTTTACTAGCTTTCTCATAGAATATATAAAGCGTCCATTTTCCTCAATTATAAACTATTATTGTTTTGTCGTCTAGCCCCTCTTTTTAGTTTTTTATAATATAAAATGTAAATCCGCAATTTCCTACTCTAATTTTCTATGTTTTATCAGTGTTATGACTAGCTAATCAAGATAAACACAGACCAAGCTACTGCTTGTAATTTAGTTATAATGAAATAGGCAACACATAAGCTTTGAACAGGCAAAGATAGATGTAGAAAATATCCGATTATATATGCATTAAATAATTCTCAATAAAGCTCTATAAAATTAGCTAAGTATAAGATTAACGAAATCATCTTCAGGTTGACTTTTGTAGTTCATTTCTTTTTGTGATCGACTCCAATTAAATAAAAATCAAAAATCAAAAATTTTAAAAAAATTGGTGATCAACAATGGGATTCTTAGAATTGTTCATGGTGGCTCTAATGCCGGTGTTGAAGACGCTGCTGTTAACAGCAGTAGGGGTAGTTCTTGCCATGGATCGAATAAATCTGCTGGGTTCAACAGCAAGACATAATTTGAACAATGTAAGTACACATACATATAAGTCATATATACATACAATTATGATCATGCTATCAAATTTTCATTTGGTTCATATTTTGTACATTTTGCTTTAATTGATTTACCAAGAAAAATATGCATATTGATGATATATTCCAACTTAGCTTGATATATATACACATACTTGAACTTTATTTTTTATTCATTCTGAACTCTATGTTGTTAATATAAAGATAAAAATACATAGTTGTGGATGTAATGCACGCGTCTTTATTTTGTATGAGTTGGGTTCATAACAGATTAGAAAGTGTTAAGGTTCCTAACGTTTTCTTATTTTTCTTACCTATTTTTTTTTAAAAATAAAAATAAAAATAAAGATTACAAAGTGTTACGATTTACAATGTTAATGAGATTCAATCTCATGTTTAAAATGCCCTGTGACCGCCCAATGATTTGAATTACAAACCAAACTTGTACGCATGTCCTAGGACTTGGCCAAAGGAAGCAAGTCTAATTCAACATAGAATATATACTTGGGCAATCCTCCTTTCAATTCGAAAAAATTAATTATTATTGATCAAAATTGTTTACATAAGACGGAGTACTAATTACATATTCAGATGGTGTTTATTACTGATGAAAATATGTATCATTTACCTTCCTCTATAACTAATGAAAGGAATTTTTCTATGACAACAGATGGTGTTTTATGTATTCAGCCCTTGTCTTATGGGCGCCTATCTTGCAAAAACAGTTACATTGGATGTTATGATGAACATGTGAGTAACCCAAGTTGGTATAGTAATGCAAAAAATTTATTCATTCCATATGATGTCGCGCTTAATTAATTAATTACATAGTCTAATTTAATTTTATGTACTTGTAATTGTAGGTGGTTCATGCCAATTAACATTTTGATCACGTTTATAATCGGATCAGTTCTTGGATGGATACTTGTTAAGATCACTAAAGCACCCCGTGATTTGAAAGGCCTTGTTATCGGATGTTGTGCTGCAGGTATATTTTACGCGCTATCTTATAACCGAAAATAATAATGCTATATGTCTAATTTTTCATGTTGACATAAAATGTTATCAACATCCAAATTATGTTAATAATCAGTCAATTTAATATAATCTTTTACGTACCTTTTATAAAGTCTTACATTCAATTTGTTTATACAAAATTGAATAAACAGGGAACTTGGGGAACTTGCTTCTTATAGTCATCCCAGCAATATGCAATGAGCCAAATAACCCCTTTGGTGAATACTCAGTTTGCATGACTGATGGAGCAGCTTATGTTTCGGTTTCTATGGCGGTATTGCTTCACCATACTTATCTCAGTGACACTTATTAAGGATGTTGTATGTAATGTACAACTTTTAACAAAAATGTGCATGTTTTTCTAGGTAGGAGCCATCTATATATGGTCTTATGTGTATGTTATCATGAAAGTATCAGCTGAGAAGAGCACTCGCGGTGAGAGATTAGATACTCATCACTCTGTAGTCAGTGTAAGGCCTTCTGTTGCAACTTCTGATAGCAAAGAACCGTTACTAATCTCTAAGGTAATTTGATCATTGTATTTAGACTACTTACTGATAATCCTTGTTATGTAAATCAAGAAATTAATAATTAGCCTCGTGTTTGATTTTACAGGTAGGAGGCACTGTGTCTATGTTGGAAAAGATCAAGACGGGTGCATTTGGTTTAGTCCGAAGAATCAGGGGTATCAACTTGCAACATTTATTCGCGCCTACAACTATCGGATCTGTAATTTTCTAAACTCTGATTAATATTTTTGATCCTATATTCCTATATAGTATATACTCTTGCATCTTATGGACGGACTTGAATTAATTAAAGTATATGTCATTCATGATCCCGACCAATTCTATTTTGTAAATGACAAATTACACGAATGGTCTATTTCTGATGTCTCAATGTATCATTGAACAGGACTACAGATGATCTAGTAATCCTAGGCCATGTAACATTTTCTCAGTCGATGACTGATGCATATATCTCAGACAATTTAATCTTTTTTTGATCTTAACATAAGTAGTATTCTTCCAACTAACAATATTTGTACGTAGGTTATCGGATTTGTCGTTGGAGTAGTCCCTCTACTAAAGATGTTGCTGGTTGGTAACAGTGCTCCTCTTCGAATTATATTCAGTGCTTCTGAAATACTGGGGTATGAATTCTTGCTAATTAACTTTCTTCACATAAATGTACGAAATTTATTCCCTAATTTTCTGTTTTTTTTTTTTTTTTTTTTTTTTGTTGTTGTTTGGGGGGTCTTTAGAGGAGCAACTGTACCCTGTGTTACACTAATAGTTGGAGCGAACCTTGTAAAAGGTAATTATACAATTTACAGTAACGAAGTTACATAATTGCTGGTTTAGCTCGCTCTTTAAATTAAGTTGCCTAGGTACAAAATCATGATTCTGTGCTTGTTTCAGGATTAAGAAGATCAGGGATAAGTGCATCAGTAATCGTAGGGATAATAGTGGTGCGTTACATTGCATTGCCTTTGATTGGCATCGTCGTTGTTAGAGGTGCTCACCACTTTGGTTGGGTAGGATCCAACCCGTTGTTCCAATTTGTTCTCATGCTTCAATTCGCTCTGCCACCAGCAATGTCTATAGGTATGTTTTTCGTAGCAACTTAATCCATTCTAAGGCCCTATTCTCTTCAACATACTTAATTTACCAAAAATCAAATGATGTGAAGAGGAACTTAACAAATAACGTGTTTTATGTGTAACGATGGTAGAAGAACTAACATGAGCGCGCCAAACAGGTACAATAAGCCAACTCTTTGAGTCGGGTGAAGGCGAATGCTCAGTTGTTATGCTATGGACGTATGCTATGTCGGCGTTAGCCCTTACTCTTTGGTCCACACTGTTTATGTGGCTGGTGTTATAGGTTATGTATCTCTTTGCATTGATGTATAAGTGAATTATTCACTCATATCACACAACATTGTGATATATATTGAGAAATTGTAATCAATGATCAAATTATGGAGGCTGTAAATTTCTGCCAAGATGGCTGAAGAAATTGATTATGTGTGCCATCATATTACGGTACCCTACTAAGTTGTAATGGGGTCTAAACATGATGTAAGCTGAAATTGCAAAATTAGAAATTGGATGTGTTCAAGTTTGTTATGGTAAATTGCTTGGAACATCCTTTTCTACATCTGTAAACTTGGTTTCAAGTACTACCTTCCGTTACCTAAATACTCGTAAAAGGAATTCTGATTCAAATCTTCAACACAACAAAATATTGAAATACAATGACAAAAAAATAACCCTCAATCTCTAAAAGTTATTCATGTTTGAATGGTGAGAGGTCTAAGCAAAACTTTTTCGAGATAAAGGGAGTACATCGTTCGGTCTTTCCAAGTTACAACTTAGTCCGTACTAGTGTTTTGTCTTTATCATTAAAATAAATGTGGACATATGCATCAAAAAAATACATAGGCTATCCTAGCAACAAAATAAAATAAAAATTATATTGAGTAAATTATAGCTGACTTTCTTACTTTGACAAATTTATACATGTAACTATCTTTGAAAGATTAACAAATTTATATAACTAAGCAAAGAAGAAAAAAAAAAGAAATACATTTTTTATTATAACTACTACTAAGGAGATTTTTTTAAGGAAGATATTTTGTTCCTCTTCAAATATTTTTTTTTGTAATTTTATTAGTTCAAGTATTAATGTAACATATCCAAATAGAATTTCTAAAATTGTAGTACACCTTTATTCAGAAAATTGATGGAATAACTCCAAAAGTCCACCTACTTGTATGGCAATATAAGCCCTTTCTAACAATTTACATGGCCCGGATCTTTTGGATTCCCTTGTGGTCCGTACTATTTGTGTGGCCTTCATTATTATCTTCGGCCCACTAAGCTTATATCAAGTTATATTACTCAAACTGCTTAATAATATCAATCGCAATTCAATAATAAGGTCCTCTATTTATGTCCTTGCCAATTTTTTGTTGTTTCAAAATCAGTCGTATTCATATTCATATATTTATACATATATGTACATCGCATAATACCTGTTCAAAAGTGGAGGCAGTGGGAAAGATTTACAATTAACGTCTTGCTTGGATTGGGGGTAATATATTAAGGGGGTAATAAAAGTTAAATTTGAAAAAACATCATTAATTAGAGGTGGTGTTGTAGGAGGCACGGTGTTTACAAATAAAATAAAGTAATTATGCCATGAGGAAAAGAGAGAGATGGAGGAATTATTACCCTCATAATGAGGGTAATAGTTACTCACCCTCCCCCTAGTATAACTATTACCCCCAAAATGAGGGTATTAGTTCCTCTTTCTTTATCTCATACCACACCATCACTACTTAATTTTCCTTACAATCACACCATCACTATCTCCTCCTTCCCTATAGGGGTGAAACTAATGCGGTTTAAAACCGAACCAAACCGAATTAGAAATATGGTGTGGTTTTTTTTATTTTCTAATATGGTTCGGTGCGGTTTGAGGAATCCCAAAACCGAATTAATATGGTTTGGTTTTGGTTTTAAGATTTGAAAAACCAAAAACCGAAAAACCGAATTATGGCCCATATCCAAATTATAGTGTAGGCCAAAACTAATTTCTACCCTACATATATAAAGCCAAAAAATAATAAAACTTTTGTTTTTTTATGTCCTACAATGTCAACCAATGTGGGGCGATGTTGGAGTGAACGACCAGTTAGAAGGAGCAAAAAGGAAGAGGATGAAAAATTTCGGTGTGGTTTGGTTTGTTTTTGAAAAACCGAATTCAAAACGGTGTGGTTTGGTTCGGTTTCAATAATAATATGGTGCGGTGTGGTTTGGAAAATCTCAAAACCGAAGTAATGTGGTTTGGTTTCGGTTTGAGCTATAAACCACACCGCAAACCGAACTTTCACTCCTAGTTCCTTATTTTCACTTTCATTTTGCTTAGTTTGACTTTTATTACCCTACTAATACATCTCCCCCTATCCAAACATACCCTAAGAGAAATAAAGAGATCGAGCGATAATGACATGTATAAGTTTGAATTGAACGTTAAATAGTAAATTTAATAGCAGTTGTATTCATATACTTCGTATCATTTTGACAATTATTTCGTAATTCTTTCTTCTTGTTTATTTTGTTTGCAGGAAATTTCTCATATTTAGCAGTTGTATCCACACTTGTTAATAGCTGCCATACTTAATTAGGTAGGTCATTTGATTATTATGGGGCTGTTCAATGAGGGTCACTCTTTAGTGGTTTACTTAAAGTAACTATAAATTATACTAATATAAATTTTTCAAGGAAACTATAAAGTTAGATATAACTACGGTCTTTTTGGGATTTATTATTCAAAACCGGAATTTTGAAGTATAGTGACCCTAATAATGTGAAGATGTAATTTAACTAAACACCATAGACCTTAGTCCCTTACTTTGTTGCAATGTTGTTAATATTGTTGCATTGTCTCTTAACTGCATTTTGTCTCATTTTCAAATAAATAATTGAGGAAGCCCTCCTTCAGTCCCTGCAATCTTTCTTAATCAACGAATCTTTCTTAAGTATGCACTCGTAATAACTATGATTTAGATGTACATGTATGTAACCCTTACATACCCCACTATCAATTTTGCCCTTTTTTGGTCTAATTAAGGTCCCACTCTCTTATTAGTCTCTGTATATTATTACACTTACTCACGGACAAATTGAGCTAATAGTCCTCAATTTGATATGATATGCTTTGTAACCATTGTCAATTCATATTCTACTACATCGATCACTTCAATCCTTTTTGTTTTCATTTGAATATATTTTTTTTTATCACATAATATGATTCTAAGTAAGAAAAGTATAATCGTTTATTTAAGAAAATTTAAATAAGGGAATGTTATACTTGTAATCAAAAATAATATTTACTTGATTGCAATTTTTACTTTTAATTTAATAAAAACTTCAAAATTTTGAACAAGTCAGATTAAGTTCAACTTGACTCGACTCTTGACATATATCACCATGGGCAACTTTGTCACACAAGTCATGCACTTCGCCAATTACACTAGATTTTTTCGGCCACTATATGTTAAAAATTGACTCAATTCAAAACAATTTTACTTAACTCATCGAACTGTGCATGCATGGACACAATAGCTTTACGTGACTTAATTAATTTAAAATGACTGAACCCAACTCGATCCAATCGAGCCCAGCCGCTGACTCAAATTGATACCTCCCAATTTTACTTTTTTTTCCTATAATAGCTAAGTATATAAGTCTTTTTCTTAGTTACAGGTGTAGTTAGTTGGGGACTTGGGCGTGATAATAAAAATGCAACAACCAAAAGGTAGGATATACACATAGATTCCAACTTCTGAAGTGACCCACTAATTAATAGTGCTAAAGTTGGTAAACATACATACTAACATACAACTATTTGTATGTAAAGTTCCTTCAAAGATTCACCTTTAATTCCATAATCATGTTTTGGCTAACAAGGCATAATTTCATACTAGCACATGAATCCCTCAATGCTAAGACAATACGTGTATAAGAATAAATAATCAAGTTGAGTATATATTACATGATCAATCATATCATTATTATGATTTTACGATTATAATATAAGAATTTACCATAATCTGAAGCATCCTTTTCATTGTTAAATAAATAATTGAGGTGACACCCGTGAATGTATTTAATGCATGCTAGCTTAATTAGGGTATCATATAATATAAGTATATTTTTGGGGGTCAGTCCATTTACATGATAGTGATCTACTATATAGTTGTAGGATAATGGTCGCGATAATAGCTAGCTTCTCACTTTTGTTTTTGTTCCTTATGTTGTGGTCCATTCTTGTGTAGTTGTGTATATACTACTTGGTTGACTAGTTGTTTTTTTAAATTACCCTCTAATAATAATTAAGTATATTTAATTGAATAATTTAGAGATGTACATCTTAAACTGATCCTAAAACGGTTTTTAGTGGATTAGTGATTGTCTAATTGTAAGTATACCACTAATACCAGCAAGGTTTCCTGCTATTCATCTGACAAACCATTATAATCATCTTTATTAGCTTGATGATTATGTGTATTATCTATTATATAATATAGCTAATGATGGAAAATTAAGATCTCATTTATTATGTGTATCTATACTCTTAATTAGCTTGATGATTAAGCTCATTGACTAATTGTACTCGATATGTCGCCCCACTAATGCAATATGTACTTATTTGAATCAGCTGTGTACATAACAACTTGTCCTAGCTTTGAAAAAGGGACTATAACTCCATACTATATATAAATCAATTACAACAATAGTTTTAAGTATTATATGCATGAGTCACTGACTTATAATCTTATTTATATATGACGAATAATCCCATATATAATACGGAGTATAATCTTATGTAAGTATTTGTCCTCTGTTAATAAACTCATTAATTCTATATATCTATAATTAAGACACAGAGTACAAAATAATATTAAGTAGGGATATTCAAAGTTTAGTCTGAACTATACCAAACTGCATATTAGACCGTGTATGAGTGTATGACTCCTTAGTCGTTACATGTAGGACTTAGTGTTAGACACAGACTAGTACACTAAGGCAAAGTCGGCAATAAACAAAATTGGTGATTGTCGTGATACTAGCACTGCACGTTCACATTGTCTCAAACGTACCACTGAAAAAATAAGATAGATTAAGGTCACCCCACCAATCAACTGTTTATCAGTTTATCCAAAATTCAACGTTCATATGCCACGCATTATTCTCCATTCCATAATTCTAAATGGTGTAGCAATCAAACTGAGTCCACTACAAATATAAATTGGAACACTGTAAAAAATGTTACTACTTTTATCTTACAACGAACTCAACCAATTTTCTTGATAAAAGTTAGTCTATGGCCCAATAAACTTCAATGACAGCGTTGAAAATTGATCTGATGGTGAACCTTTAATTAGAACACCTCATTATAACTTCCTAATTCCCTTTTTTGCCGGAGTTTCATGCATGTTAAGCAATTATTTGATGGTATAATAAAGTCTCTTTTTCTCGTCAACAATCATAATCGATTTTTTTTTAGTTGACTGGGCTTAATCGATGTTGTCATGTAGAGATGTACTATTACTAAGTACTTGTAAAGAGTTGTAGATTTATAAAAAAAATAATTATAATTACGAGCAAAAAATTTTGAAAATTAGGAAACCTCAGAAAAATATAAGGATAGCTAGATA